CTCATCTTCCCTCTCCTGCAGAACTTATCGCATCGCGCTGGCCAAGTGCAACTTTTATGAGAGGGCTGTCTGCATATGGAACCCTCACCACACCTACCCTTCACGGAAGCGTGACTGGATTTCCTCCGTTGGTTAATGAAGTCTGTGGGGCTTGTTTTTTGGAGGCTGGCATTCTTTTGAAAAGCCTTGACAGGCCCGGATTGGAAGCGTTGGCCCCAGCCTCGCTTGCTTGACCACTTTTTTTGCTGAAAGAAGCCACAAACTACGATGAGGCACTCAACCCCGAAGGATCGTTTTCTTCGGTAAACGCTTTCGCCTACTGGCTTGTCATACCTCGTGCCAAATAGCGATTGGCGACTGAAGGTTCAAGAGACTAAAGCTTACAAGAAACATACGGATTCCAAGCTACAATGCCTGGAAACACAAGATCGCTGCAGATGTTTTTAATTAAAAGCAAGTGGCCTTCGCACCCGACTCCGTGAGCGTTGCCGGCTCATCTTCACTCTCCTGCAGAACTTATCGCATCGCGCTGGCCAAGTGCAACTTTTATGAGAGGGCTGTCTGCATATGGAACCCTCACCACACCTACCCTTCACGGAACCTCCGCCTGCTTTGCAAGAATCTTGGTTCATGAAGTCTGTGGGGCTTTGTTTTTTGGAGGCTGGCATTCTTTTGAAAAGCCTTGACAGGCCCGGATTGGAAGCGTCGGCCCCAGCCTCGCTTGCTTGACCACATTTTTTGCTGAAAGAAGCTTGGCCAAGCAGTCAGTCTAGCTTCAGGGATGACAATTAGTGTTTTCTGTAGTACTTGGCTGTCGCTTGAACATGTCGTTGCTGTGAAATCGAACAGGATGCACATATGGTGTAGCATAGCCCGGTGCGACGCAATTCTGTATCTGCAACCATTGCCAGAATCTGAACATGGACTAAGTTCTGTCAGCCAATTTTATTGAAAGCATGCTGGCGAACAGAATCTAGGGGCAGTGCCATAACAATTCTGTAGATTGCTTCAGTCTCCGTGGTAACAGGCTGCTAGCTGCGTGCGGCATAGTGAACTGGGTTCAGATTCTTCAGATTTTGGCAGATCCTATGCTTGGGCCCAGAGAAACATAGCAGATATTGGAAGTAAACTAAGTAAGAAGAGGCAATAAGGCAATAAGGCGCAACAAATCATCAATAAAAGAACAGCAAAATGACGAGAACAACCATCTTAAAAAGCAACAATACCAAATACGGGTCCCCCAAATCCAGCGAGGAGGTCCGAGAACAAGCTGAATCCAGGTATATTGAAGTTGCACCATGCTCTCACATAGGGTTACCCAAATATGGGCTCTAGCAGACACATAGAATTATGGAATTCCGTGACTCTGGGGCCTTAGGGATTGTGCATGCGTTCTGACCCTGTACAGATTTCATCTGAATTCCAGCCTTGAAGTTGCTTACAAGCAGTCAGCATTCCAGAGAGCAATCCGCCGAGTCAACAAGATGTAGCGACACGATTTAGAGGGATAGGCGCAAGGTCGTTCGATTTGTGCTGACTGAAAAAAGGGGGTCCACCTGAGGCGCCAGGTGTGGCGAGATGGATGTCGAGCGGGCTGGGGCCCGGGTCATGCCGGGCGGCATCAAGAAGATTTTTACAAGTTTGCAAGAGCAGTGAGGAGGGCGCAGAAGCAGCGACAGCCGCAAGCAGTGGAACTGCCAGCAGCAACCGCAGTTATCATAAGTAGTTGTATTCCTAGCAGCAACCCAGGCAGCAACAGAGCAGCTGCAGTAGTGGCTTAGTAGTAGCTCCAGCAGCAACAAAGGTGACATTGCCAGATTGGCACTGTTTGCCGCCCTGTCTTCTCGAGAAGCTGGGGGTGCACCGGTAGACGACCAGGCCAGGGCAGCAATCCATTATCTATCCCTTCATGCCATCCTGCGAACTGGCATACTGAACGACTGGTGTTAAGAAACTGTATGCAGTGACATGACATGATGTCATGTGTCATCTGAGACTTCGGGCCTTTCGCTTCTCGATCTCAGACCTCAAACGGCTTGTGCATGGCTTTCCTTCTTGCAATTGACATGTTCTGAAACCGACACTGTAACCCATTCGGCATCCATCTATGATGTGAACCCCACGTGCAGTGAAGTCAAGAGATCCAACAGGCCATGAACACACCGACGCTGAGCCTGTTTATTACCTTCATTTGTTCGTGGTGGTGATCATGGCTAATCCGCCGAGGCCCCCGGCCTCTGGCGTTTGCGGGAGCAAGACCCCTCCCAGCAGTCCCCCCTGTAGCCTTCCTCCCTGCATGCCCGCTTCTGCGTTTTTCTGGTCGGCCCGTCAAACCAACTATGCAGCTGGAGGATTCTGTAATTAGAATTGCTATACAAATGCTTAGGGAGACTTCACAAGGGCATTGAGGTATTGCACAGGGCTTCGATTCATAAGGCTATTGTGTTTCAGCAGCACATCTGGGGCTCTGTTAGGGGTTGTGTCAGAAGTTTATATGGCAATTCTCCTCTCTGTAGTTTCGCCCCCTGAGCCGTCACAACTTCTTGTCGCTTACAGCAGTTCGGCATGATGCTGCCACCCTGGCCAGTCCTGCTTCCAGCACGGTTGGAGCTGCCGAAAAGCCTGTGCTGCCTAAACTGACGGCAGCTGCACTATGTCTGTAACGGCACTGCTGACCGGCGCTCAAGCCGGCCGAGGCGGCGCGCGGTAGCGTTAATATTAGCCCTCCTTAGCCTGTCTCGTGGGGACACAGGGCATGTCGCCGAGAATGAAAATGGCGCCCCAAGAAATTTGAAAGGAATGCGTCAGTGAGTCGAAAACCTCCTCCTTGCACTCTGATTGTTGCAACCGCGCCTTTGCCTAATTCTTAAAGCATTGCAGTGGCTGTTTTACCGTTGCGCTTGAGGCTCCAGGCCAGGGAAGTCAGCTTTGATTACAAGCTTGCGCTAGAACATCACAAGATGAACCGCTCTTAGTCCTCGAGTGTTGCGGTTCACAACCCAGGCTGGAATTGCGGACAAGGAGCCGGCAGGACTCCTCGAACTGCAACAATTGCTGCTCCAAAGCGTCGACCCCCTGCATCATTCTTACGACAGTCCGTCAAGCACCCGACCAAGTCGATAAGAGGGGTTTGCGCCATGGCACGAAACCGAAAGCAAGGCATCGCAGTCTCAAACAGAAAGGCGCAGGCTTTCAAGCAGTCAGCCTTGTTCTGCGTGGCGGGGCCACCAAGGTTGGAGTATGCTGCTAGAGCAGCTTTGCGCAGCTGCTGTAGAAGATTTGACGTTTCAGCTCCTCAGGCTTTCACAGGCTGCATAGGCTGCATAGGCTGCATGCAAGCATTCAGGACAAGTCGTGAGGTCTAAGCTTCGTGTCCTGCAGAGCTCGTATCTTGGAAGTGTGCCAAGGCTTTTGTCTCCTCCTGGGGCTGTAACGCCCCGAGATTGCACTGAAGCAAGCACACGCAGCACGCTTTGAACCCACAGCATCAGTCTCAGCCATTGCGGGCTTCAGGTCAAGTGTGAGAATGAGTTTGATCCAGCGTCCACACGGGCTTGGCGCAGGCTGGCACTGGACGAGCTTGCGGCTGCCTGTCGAGAGCAGGCTTGGCATGTCGACACCACAAGCCAACTCACTCGCCTGAGATGCCAGCACATTCTCACGAGCTTCCGCCAGTGAAGCACAAGAAGCATTGAGGTCCGCTTGCGCTGCCTCAGGTCTGCCGTTGTTGACTTTCTTTTGAAGAAGCAGCCCTGTCCTTGGCTCGCTCAGTCAAAGCTTCCTCTGCACTCGTCAGAGTGTCGCAGGTCAGCTCCTGCAACGGAGTGGCAGGCCCGCGAGAAGCAATCATCCCTCTAATGTAGATATTAACACCCTCTGACCCACCTTGTGGGAGTGGGACCACTTCGAGGGCTGCAGGGCATGTGATGACAAGCTTGAAATCTCAACTACAACCCGTCTTTATGCATGTACAGCAATAGCACTGTTTGAGAAATCGCCAGTTTGAGAAATTCAGTCCCCTATCAGCCACCACGAGAATACAAACTTAGGCAGGAGGAAATTAAGACATCGTCGGTACCCCGACCTCGGGGTTGTGATTTCGTAGTTTTCTTTTACTTTGCTTCTGCATCTTCTTCCGCTTCGTGCTTGAAATCAAAGAGCTCCAAGTCCAAACACCTCGATTTCTTAGTTTGGCCTTCGTGGCTTGTCTGAAGGCTATCCGGCTTCGAAATCTTCTTGCCTAACAAAACTGAGAAAGCAATCTAGAAATCGAAGGTGCCCTCAGAAACCCGCAACAATAAATTTTATGTTGAAACGGGTCTCCTTACAAAGAAATTGAATGTATCTTCTGTTTGGCTCACAGCCAGGACAGGTGGCGAATCCAAGCATCTGCTGCTTCGGTGTGTTTTGCTCTGCATGTCCAATGGAGATTCCACTTGCCCCGATTCTTGAATCGGATGCTAAATCATTGTCAGCAACATTCTGCGAACTTGGCATATCCACTAATTCGTTACATTCGTTACTTACCTTCCATGAGTCAGGAAAGCTGAAAACCCAGATGCAACGCAATTGAAACAACCGATCCGCTGTCAATAGCTATTTCAAGTCCTTGCTGGTGGCTTCCACGTAATCCTCGAGCGCTTTGGTAATGAGCTGCGATGCTGCCTCCTCCAGCGGAGACCTGCCCTCCACAGGCCTCAGGCAATCAACAATTTGGATCACTTTGGCAACTCTCTGACAATGTTGATGACAACGCTGGCGTCCCAGGCTTTTGCAACACGAGTGGCAAAGTGCACAGTAGTGAGTCCTTCGGCGATGTTGTGCCTCCTCTGACAATTGTTAGGAGAGGTTTGCCTCCAAATTGAGCTTGTTGCAGACTTTCTGAAGCTTGGACAGCTGATCTGCGGTTAGCTGCAGCTCCTTTCCGTCAAAGCCGCAAGCCGGGAGCTGAACGTCGCAGCATGCGCAGCTCTCTAGCAGCTTCTAGACCAGCATGAGCATGAAAAGCAAAGTCTGGGAAAGCTTAATCGGTTGTGGGAGAGGGTAAGGTCATTCCTTGTTCTCCGCACGGAGGACGGAGCAAGCCGTCCTGTCAGCACGAGGTGCAAAATGTAAAAAACCCCAGTTTCTGAGCATCTGGTTGGCAGCTCCTGGAGAGATCCTGTTCCATTTGCCGCTCGAGTCGCTGCACCTGAGAAGCAGAACACTACAGTGAACTTTTTCTTATGTCCAAAAGGGATTTTGATGAAGAGAATTTGCAGAAGGCTGATGTCGGCATCCTGGCCTCTGCTGCACTTCGCGCCGCCTCAGCCTGACAGGCACATACAGGTTTGCGTTCTGTTTTGAGCCAATTACACACGACGCAACACCCTTGTCATACCTTATCATGCCTCATTTTTGGCCACGGTCGACACCCTTCATGATGAATTCTCTCGATGCTCGAAAAAGGTTCGGCAACAACTTCACCCGGCACAACTAGCCAGTCGCGGTTGGCAAAACATCACGGAAAACCATGGTGGCTCGGCGTCTGGCCAAACGATCGGCAGGATTTGATGGATCTCCCTTTCTGAAAACATGGATTCGACTCTCGGTCCCTCTGCCCAACGCAAGCCAAAGATGCTTGCAAGAAGCAAACAGGTTGCTGCTCGAGCTGACTGCCAAACAACGGCATGCACCGCTCAGCCTTCGTAGAAAATCAATTTCTGTGCCCGCCGGCGAGCAACAGCTGCAAGCTTGCTGTTACAAGCTAACTACTGCAATCATGATCAGAAGTAGAACCAGCCTGTTCACGCGCAACATCGCTCCTACAAGCTCCAGAAAGTGAAGTGGAGGATTTCGCCATCCCAGATCTAACCATACGCCTCTTTTCAGTTTTGGAATAGGAACATAATTTAATAGACGCCAGGCCTCTCACTCACAACCGGTTTCAGCTGGCGACGCATTGCCATGTTGTTGGTGACCGGTTGTTGCTGAGAACGAAGTCTTGGATTTAAGCCAGGTGTTTGCCAGAATGGGAACTGTTCATCCTAGGAATTAAAAGGGAAAGTGTACCGTTTCGTCTTATGGCTGAAGCGAGCTGTGCAAAAGGCAGCTGGCCTTTGCGTGCAGAATCTGATCCCAAAAGATTTGCGCTTTTTGTCCGTATTTTCCAGCTGCTGTGACGCGGGCCCCCCTCGCCCACCCACTTTCGGAACAGACCTCTGCTAACCCTACTAAACATCTGTCTAGCGCGCAATGACCTCAAGATCCTTCGGGCAAAACGCAACACCAAAGATGCAACATTGATTAGGCGATCAGGCTGCGCCAGCCGCTTTCGCCTCTTGAGCACTGCATTGCATCAACGCGTTGGTGAAACCGTGGCCGGAGAAAAAGAAGATTCTTGAAAAAAAGCTCGCTCCCGGACAGCTCTCAAGGCTCTGCCTTTTCGAAACACTCTGCTTCATGTAACGATACCTGAAACTTGAGCCCCGCCTCATTGGCTTCTACCTCTGCGCAGCCGTGAGCAAGCTTCGCTGCCTCTTCCGCCGAGAGGTGCACAGCAAGCTGCTCCTGAACAGACCGCAACCAACAAGGCAAGCAAAGCCTGAACCAAAGTCCTCGCAGCGCTCCACTTGGGTGAGAATGTCCCGCACAGCTTTCGCTGCTTTCTGCGCGCAGGTGGCAGCTGCCAGCACCTGGTCCAGCCCTCAAATTTACACTAAATTTACGTACGACCTCACCGAGCTCAGACTACTCGGAACCTCTTCCTTTGCAGCACGCTTCTCTTGCAAAAGCCGTTCAAGCAGCAGTGCTTCGGTGTCTTTGAGGACCTGCCCAGGCAGCACACCAGCACGACAAGCACTGGTATGGTGCGCCAGCGTCCTCCCCGATGAAGCGAGCAAATGCCACCTCCAAGCATGTGTTCAGTCAGAGACAATGTTGCGGCAGTGCATACGCTTGATCTCATAAGCATGAATACGGCGTTCTCCTCCAAACATCTACACCTCCCCCCGTCATCCCCCGTCCTCTGCCATAAAGCTGTCGTAGGGACGACTCGGGACTGTTGCTTACCGAGGTTTACCGGAAATGATTGAAGCTTCGGGCCTGTGAAAGACAAAGTCTGCAGCACCCACAATGCGAGCCAAAACATGGTCTTCCATGCTTGACCGGAATGCTGAGGATGCTTTTTCAATGTTGCAACCTGTAGCTTCAGGGGCTTCTAGAGGCTGCAGCTTGATTTTGAAAGTCAGGAAGTGCATAGAGTTGTGGCCACGCCTTGGGACACGTTTCTTCAGATCAGGCCCCAGACATGTTTTGAGACTTCTCACATAGCACCACATTTGGACTTTCCGTGCATGCTGTGCTACACCACTTGCTTGGCTTCTTTTGCAAGCTTTGCAGACGCTTAGGAAAGGCAAGTTCCTGAGCATTTGTGCATCGCTGCTCTGGTACGCTGCAGGGGCCCTGCAAGATGAGAATGCCGGGCTTGGAGTGCCAGTTGCACCGCCTGGACCATACATGGTGGCCGCGCGGGGTGTTAAGTTCTATCAACCAACCTGTCAGAAGTTAGAACTTTCCAAGCATACGCGCCATTCGCAGAAAGTCTGTCACGTGCATAAGAAGTCACATCACAGCTATCTAATCTCCGTTTTCGCGCGCTCCGTAGCCTCTTCCCAAAAAACAAGCGAGACACAAAAGTACCGCATGCCGCATGCTGAACTCTGAACATATGGCTACTGATCAAAACCACGTGCCTTGAGTGCACGCTCCTATGCTGTCTG